GCGGACACAACATCTTTGTTGGTATGTGGTGCTGAGGATCGAACCCGGGTCGCACGCATACCAGGCGAGCGCGCTACCGCTTGAGCCACATCCCCAGCCCCGAGAGAGAGAATTTTTTAATATTTATTTTTTTAGTTCTCAGCGGACACAATATTTTTGTTGGTATGTGGTGCTGAGGATCGAACCCGGGCCGCACGCATGCCAAGCAAGCGTGCTACTGCTTGAGCCACATCCCCAGCCCTACTCAGGAGGTTGAGGCAGAAAGATTACAAGTTTGATGCCAGCCTGGATAATTTAGTGAGATACTGTCTTAAAATAATTTTTTAAAAGGCTAGGGGTATAGTGTAGTTGTAGAGTGTTGCCCAGCAAGCACAAGACCCTGGGTTCAATTCCTGGCACTGGAGAAAAAAAAGTATTTTTCAGCCTAAATTAACTAGGTATGGGGTATAGTAATTCTTGGAGCACTGCCTTTTTTCTTCTAGTCAAGAGATCTCCTTGAATGGCCTTATAGGGAGTCTTCAGTCTGTGCTACTTCATTAAAAAAGAAAAATGAATTTGTTGACAAACTGGTAACTTTGTAATTTGTAACAAATGGCTTATAACAAGTCTCACAAGGACAATTATATGCCCATAACATGGAGCTTGAAAACCACTGATCTATGTTTCTAATCTGAGCAGTTCTCATGGGCTTGTGTTATAACAGCTTTAAAAGTTAATTTTCAGTTGATTTTTGGGGACTTAAAAATGTGCTTTCCCATGAGCAATTAAATCAAAATTGGCAAAGTTCTCAGGACACCACACACGAATATTCTCCTGGACTAGGGTGTGAAATGCATCTCTGATATCAAAGAAAACATTAGGCACTTGGTTGTTTGGGATTGGATAACTTCACTTAGCATTATCTTCTCTAACTCTATCCATTTACCTGCAAATGCCATGATTTTATTCTCTTTTATTGCTGAGTAATATTCCATTGTGTATAGGAATAGATGAACTCTAGATAGGGCAGAGGGGTTAGAGGGGAAGAGAGGGGGCATGGGGTTAGAAATGATGGTGGAACATGATGATCATTATTATCCAAAGTACATGTATGAACACACAAATTGGTGTGAATACACTTTGTATACAACCAGAGAAATAAAAAAATGTGCTCTATATGTGTAGTAAGAATTGTAATTCATTCCGCTGTCATATATAAGTAAAAAATAAATAAATAAAATAAACTTAAGTCTTCGGGGGGGAAAAAAAATAAAGAAATGCACCTCTGAGCAGTGGAACATTGGCACAGCTCCAGGGAACTATCGTGGAGTGTGTTGTCTTATTGATTAGGCAGCAAGAAGAGAGAAGTGTGTGCACATTGTGCTAGAGGGAGGGGATGGATTCAGGAGGGTACAATAGATCAAGGCAAGAAGGAGGTTCAGGAGGGAGAAAAGCAGAGTAAGGAGAGGAGGGCATACTTGAGCTTTGGTTATTTATAAATATATATGGTATTGGTTTAAAATGTTACCTGTTCCATTCCTGACTCCCTGGTTAAGAGGAAGATAGGGTGTGAAGTACTGTTATATTCCACTAAGGTATTTCATACAATACAAGCTTTGTTCACAACAGCTGCCAGTGGGTGTCAAATGATCAATGATAATGAGTGGCATCTCATTATGTTCCTTGTTAATCCTGGGAAATTACCCTAATGTCTTTCAGCATATTTAAAGAAGACCTAATGTCATCCTGTGTGTAGGCCATGTTTTTGTTTGTGTTATTACTCTTTGAGTAACTATTTTTTAAGTATGACAGTTACTCTTAAAGCATGGCCCATCTTACTTGGACTTCCTATTTGTGATTTGTTCATTAACTGATGACAGATGGTATTGGTGTACTGCCGTGATAAACAGTACTGACTATTTGAGAACAAAGCTAAAATGATTCTTGAGACTTCTATGTGTTTGTACATCAGGTTCCTGTGGCTTCCATAACAAAGTACCAAACACTTGATGGCACGAGCAGCAGATTCCCACCGTCCACACTTGAAGAGGCTAGGCATCTAAAATCAAAGGCCAGCTCTCCAAGGGCTCCAGAGGACAGTCCCTTCTGCTTTTTTCAGTTTCTCATGTCCACCTATAATCCTTCACATTCCTTAGGTTTTGTTCCTGTCACTCGAGCCCCAGGGCTGTCTCTGTCTGTGCCTGTGTTCTTCATATGGTTTTCCCTCTGTGTGTCCACCAAAAATTCCTTCCTAAATAATCTTTGGATAGTTTTGGAGAGTGTTTAAAAATATTTTTGGCACCTTCGATTGTATTCAGCATGAGACTGATCTGGGTTTCTAGCTGGCCCTGTGAAAGCAATGGAACTTCTTCATTTTAAAATTTGCTATTGTGTGGCACAGGAAAGAGGTGAAATTGCCTACATCTCTTAACCCAATGGTAAACCTGCACCTAGCATGTGTGCTGGTCAAAACTACTCTAGGTCTTCTACTTTTTCAACCTATAACTTTTTATATTTTATTTAAAAAAATAATTTAGACTCCATTATATTTGCTCATGGAAATTTGGGTCAAAAGGGAGAAAAAGAGCACGTTGTGGAGGCTGAAATACTGGAAGCACCATTTGAGACAGCCAAGGATAGCAGGTAGCAATTTATCTTTGTCTAAATATATCAAATCATCAAGTGTTATATGTCAGTTTTCTAGATTTACAGTTTAAAATTATTAAAATTCTGTACAATTCCACTTTCTCCACCTATCACTCATTCCAGTTCTTTTCCATTTTGAATATATTTCAACTATTTTTACTGATATTGGCATGGGCTCTGCCATCAAAATTTTGAACATGAGAAAAACATTAAAATAAATCAAAGCTGATTTGAATGAGTCCCAATGGAAAGTGAGCACTGAAGACTTAAATCAATAGACATAAGAAAAAAGGAAATAGGATATTCTAAAACGCCACATAGGAATTATTCACTAGTGTTCCCTCATTGTGTTTGCTTAACAGTTTGGAAATTTTGTCACTTTTCAGAGATACTGATGTATTTCTGAAGTTTATCAATGAGTGAACATTTGTAAAGAAGATTTGTATCTTTATTAGCCAGTATGGTTGTGAACCTGCAATAATGAATAATCAAAGGGTTTGTTGGCTATCCCTTAATATAAAGGTTATATGTTCTAATTTTATAGTTGAAAAAAGTATTTTGATATTATTTTTTAAATTTTAAATTTATTTATTTATTCTAATTTGTTATACATGATAGCAGAATGCTATCAATTCATAGTAGACATATTGAGCATAATTTTTCATTTTTCTCAAAGTAGAGTCACACCATTTGTGGATATTTATTTTTTATCTTACACAATTTTTGAATTATCCATTTGACATAGATTTATAGAGAGAGCATCTGCTTTAGATGCCAATATGGTAGATAGTTTGAAGATAACTATTACTTCTCCCTTCATTTTATATCCTGTGACTAATTTTGGACAATGAATTCAGGCTGACCCATTTCATTATCAAACTCTTTCCCTTTTCTTTAGTGTGGCAAATGTCAACATTTACTCACTGGTTTCTTCAATGACCATCCTGAACAGAGCCCCTGCAGACCTAAGGTGGGTATCTCAGTCAACTTAGGCTTCTATAACAAAATACCATAGGCTGGATGCTTAAACATAGATTTGTTTTTCTCACAATTTTGAGATGGTAGTTCAAGGACAGGGTGCTAGCATGGTTGAGTTCTGGTGAGGGCTCTCTTCCCGGCTTGTAGATGGCTGTCTTCTCTGCATCCACACATGACCTGCCCTTGGTTCATGTGCAAGGAGGAGTGAGGAGAGCAAGTTCTGTTTTTCTTCTAATAAAAGCATTAAACTCATCATGAGAGTCTCACCCTTATGACCTCTTCCAAACCTAATCACTTTCCAAAGATTCTTCCATCTCCAAATGTCATCACATTGGGTGAAAGGGCTTCAATGTGTATTTAGGGAGGATACAATTTACTCCATAGCAGTGGGCAGGAAGCTTTAGAAAGAAATAACATGATGCTTAGATTTGGAATTTTTTGTATCACAGAATAACTTAAACCATGCAGACTGATACATCCTGAATATTAATATTCTTTTAACATTAATAAATATTCTTTTAATAAATATTTTTTAAATTCAAAAGCAATTGAAGTGAAGGCCCTTAGCTTACTAGTAGTCTAAAAGTTGGTGGCAGGGTTGGGATTAGAACTTTAAACCTTGTATCCTTGGGAAACTGAAATTTCTGGAATATCATGCTTTCCTCAGACCTTCATAATCAATTTTTAAATTATTTTAAATTGATATTATCACATCATCAAGTCATTTGTTCCAGGCTTTACCCTAGGGATAGACAGCACAACTAGCTGCTTACCCAGCTTCCATAAATACCAACAATTCCAACATCTGTTGCAACATAAAACCTGTCTTTTCTTATCTTGAGTTTCTTTTGGGGATGGTGCAGAATGCTAATCTAAAGAAACTCTGCCTATAGAAGTTAGGAATCATTTAGAAATCAATCAATCAAACATGAAGACACAGATTCCAAGCCTTTTATTATCACAAATCTTCTCTAAGAAAGAGGTTGCAAGATATTTAGTAAACTTAAAGGTCCTTTAGGTTATTGCAAAATGGAAAGAATGGCATCAATGTGTTAGTATAATAGAGCGATTCATATGTTGGTGCTATAATTAACAAATAGAAACACCTCTTATCAACAACTTCTGGCATGAGCAACGGCAGAAGTTCATCAACACAGGAAGCAATGGTCCCACCTGAGTGTAATGTAAGAACGAAAACAGAGCATTTGCACAAAAGAAACTCTGCCTATGTATACATATGGTGCTATAGCCAAACACCTATTTACAAATTATTTACAGATATGACTCCACATGTAATCTATCATGCACTGCCATTTGAATACCAAAAATTAATAACATCAAAGGTCAAGAACAAAGTGACTCCTTGAAAACAGCAAAACAGAAAGAGCAGCTTTGGAGTTCAATGGCCCGGAATCAGTCAGTCCCCAGAGTGGTGCTGAGCACGCCACTCAGCCTCTCCAAAGTCAGCGTTCTAACCTGCAGAACAGGGACGACCATTCCTCCCTCGCTGAGCTATTGTGAGACACCAAGTAGTATCTGGCATGTAGAAAGATTTCCCTGTGTTGCAATTAAAGAGGTTCAATGAGAATTTAATGTGCAAACAGAAATTCAGGAGATATTATTGTAACTAAGTACTTTATAGGAACATAGATAATACATGATAATATATAAATAAAAGTAATCTTTTGCACATTTACCAGGCATGTGACAAACACTTTACCTTTCTTAGTTTCCCGCCACACCAGCATTATTCTGTAGGCATTACAGGTGAAGAAATAGAGGTTTAGTGGGATGAAAAATTTGTCCGGGGTCACGTGGGGTCCAAACATGGAGCCCATATTATTAAATCATTATATAAATCTGAAAAGAATGTTTGGTTGCTACTTTTGAGGGTGGTCCTAATGTATCCTAATGTGGAACTGCCTTCTACAAATGAGGGTACTTCCTGTGACTTTTGAATTCAAACCTATTCTGTTGCTACACTTAAGATTCCACAAGACTCTCAGAACTGGGTTGACAGACACTATAAATCTAGTGTTGTTATGAATAAAATCCACTTGCTAAGTAATGCCACTCTGATAAAATTTCCTTGCCTTGAGTTTTCAGTATCAAAGGAGATTGGAGATGAGGAAACCCTTGACCTCTGCATCCGTCAGTGAGTTCTCTTGGTACCAATCACTTTGACACAGATAGACATTTGCACATGGCAGATCTGCATTGCTTGGGCTCCCCTGACCCTGCATCCAGGACTTGAGGCATCATCAATTTATGCCAGGGGGCCACAGTTCAAGAGTCAGAAGCAACACCGATGGGTGTTAGTGAGGTGTCATCCTGCTTGCCTCCAGGGCCCTTCAGCTGCAGTGTGTCTTCACATTGCAGGACTGGCAGTTAGCTTACTGAGTGAAGACTCATCCATGTAGACACTGTCTCACAGATCTCAAGTGTGCAGCCTCCAAACCCCAGGTCCTCACCCTCTCTCATCACTTCTGGGGACCAGAATCCAAGGAGCCCTAGGCCTGAGGCACCTTCCTGGGAGTGGTCCCTGGCTGTACTTAGTTTGGAGGGCTGGTGTTTTTCTCTCTGTGGTCTGATTTTTCTGACCTAATTTAGGGCTTTGCATGGCTGCTGTGACAGCACTGTGAGTTCTGTAAGAGGACTGAGGAGCACTCAGATTCTGAGTGTTCTAGACCTGGCTGCACTACGAATTCACTCAATCTAGCTGTCAATCAGTGGAGTCCCACAGTCACCAGGAGTGCTCAGGGCAATGCTGCTTGCTGTGAGGTACAGCAGAAGAGACACAGTCCCTGCCCTTGAAGAGTCAGCTCCTTCTTTTAGAAATTTGATATACTTGGGGAACATCTAGATATTTCAGAGCAGCATGTGCTTTGTGCTGAACGAGTGGCCAGAATCAGGGAAATGGCCTACAGACTCCATGGAGCACTCCTAACATTTTCCACGACAGCACAGCTACCTATGGCTAATCCTTCCACAAAGGTTCCTTTTAGGCAGGAAGTTTAGTCCCATTTCCCTGGCACAGAGTCTACTGCAAGATGTACTTTTCATCAATCAGAATTACAGCAACAAGAAAGTAAAACAGAGGAGACCAATCCCACAAAATAAGCTCTGAAAAACAAGACTTTTTTTTTACCAGGGAGTGCTTGGTAGGCAGATGCCTGGCAGCACCCCTTGAGGGTATAGCTGAGCCTTCCCCCATCACAAGTCACCTCTCTGAGTTCTGCTACCTCCACATCTCCATGGTGTGACACAGCTGTGGGAATTGGACTTCTGCTGAAGGTGGCTTTCAACACTTCTCAAACAAAGGACCTTGATAGCTCGGTTCTTCAGAGAAGGGAACCAGCAGTGTTCATAGTGAAACCTGTCCTGTCCTGTTCTCAGTAATCAGAGACACAAACACACCTGCCTCAGGAAGTCACAGGCGGAGAGAGAAATCACGAGCTGACAGGGAGGAATGGTGATTCTCCTTAATATGCAGGTGATGTAAGATGCTTGGTACCCCACCATTGGGTTATATCTCTGGCCCATGACGAGTTTGATGTTTGTGCATTCACAGGCATCCTCTGCGGCTGACAACTTGATAGAAGTTAGCTCCTCATAAATGGTCTTGTTTCCCATTCCTTCTTTTCTAGTCACATGGATAGACATGCAATAAGAAGGTGTTTTATGTCTCTTTGTTTTATGTGCTAATTCTTATTTCTTGAAAAACAAATAACACAGGTTCTGCATAGCCAAATTTTACTCAACTTGACCCATTTGCTGCAGGGGAGTATGCTAATCACTGAAATTACCAGTTTTGCAAAGGAGAGTTTAATCATGAGGCACTAAGCACAAGAAGGTAAGTCTTAAATCCACCTCACAGAGGACAGAGTTGGAGGATATTCATGGGATAAAGAAGCAAGGTAATTTAAGGCATGGGGGAAGATGACTCAAGGTGAAGTAATTGTCGGTCAGCACATGTGCAATCAATATTTGTGACTCTTCACAGGACGTATGTTCAGAAAACGGTCACACTACATGATCCTCTGGCAGAGTTTTAGGCCTCCTGGTATCAAAAAGTCACCCACTGGAGACTTGCAGAGGCTCAAGTGCAGAGTCAGGGTTTCAACAGAAGTGGCCTTCAAGTCCCTGAAAAGTAACCTAGGCAACCGTTATCATCATAACCCACACATCAGAGGTATTATCCACAGCAAAGTTAGTGGGAGATAAATGATATATTGCTCAGCTGTGTGACCTCCAAGATTACTGATTTTTTGTAAGTCAACTAAAAGCAAGTAACTGAAAGTAATAGAAGCTACAGGGTTCATGCAGCTTTCCCTGGGTTTCATAAGCACATGAAGGAATGATTTTCTTGGCATCTGTGGAAACTAAGAATTCCTGATAAGAAATGTGGCATTTAATAACTTTGACCCAAATAAAGTTTTTGAGTTAAATTTTATTAGTGAGTCATCACATGAGTGCCTCTCCTTTTGTGCCTTGTGCTTTGCATACTTATCTTGCACAGCTGTCATAAACAACCCTTAGGAGAGGGGCCTTTTGTGAAAGAGGAAACCAGAGCTCTAAGGAGTGAAGTGACCTGCTCTAGCTCACACCACTTGCAAACTGGAGCTGCAGCCAAAAGTCGGGCCCTCTCACTCTTCACCACAGCTCAGGCTATTTAAAAATAATAAGTTGTTCAGAAAGACAATTTCAAGTTCTCAGGAAAATAGCAAAAAATAGCAATATGTATTCATTTTTCATTCATATAAAAATCCTCTCACACTTATTTTCTGACTTGAATATTAATATACTTTCTTTTCATCAGTTACTTTATTTTATTTATTATTTTTTTGGGGGGTATCAGGGATTGAACTCAATCAAGGACACTCGACCACTGAGTCACATCTCCAGCCCTATTTTGTATTTTATTTAGAGACAGAGATTCACTGAGTTGCTTAGTGGAATTATAGGTGTAGGCCACCACATCCAGCTAGTTACTTTTTTTTTTTTTTTTGAGAGAGAGAGAGAGAGAGAGAGAGAGAGAGAGAGAGAGAGAGAGAGAGAGAGAATTTTAACATTTACTTTTTAGTTTTCGGTGGACACAATATCTTTGTTTGTATGTGGTGCTGAGGATCGAACCCTGGCCGCACGCATGCCAGGCGAGTGCGCTACCGCTTGAGCCACATCCCCAGCCCAGCTAGTTATTTTCTTTTAAGGGGTGATTCTTCTATATGAACAAGTAGTCTTCAAGTGTATTGCATAAAACCAAGAAAATCACATATATTGGTATCTTATATTGTTATCATGTAAAAACTTCTGTCCCCTGTACCTACTATTTATACAGATGTTTGTATTCAACTGAAAAGACATGGGGCCTTAGCTGGGTCTAGTCCTGTTTGCAACTTAAGTCTGTGTGACTTTGGATAAGAGGCAAATATCTAATCTTAATACCACATAGAAGACTGTTGGGAGAATTTTTGAAATACTAAAAAGTAAAGCACTTTGTAAACATTAAAGCACCTCACAAATCTAAGATATATTTAATTATTGCCTGGAGTTAAGAGCTAAAGGATTGATTGGTCTTATCTAAACATCAGAATAAAAGAAAAAGGGGCTGGCTTTAGGAAAAGTGGAAAAGATCAAGGGAATATGGGGAACCTGGAAAAAAGCAATGAGTAATTAGTTTTGCTAATCTGAGAAATGGTGGACAAGACTGTCCAGTGATTTAGAAAATGAGTGTAGCCAGTGAATTGTTTTTCTTTTTTAAATCTTGACTCCATTCTTTTTTTATTACTATTATTTTTTAGTTGTAGTTGGACACAATACCTTTATTTTATTCATTTTTATGTGGTGCTGAGGATCAAAGCCAGGGCCTTGCACATGCTAGGCAAGCTCTCTACGGCTGAGCCATAACCCCAGCCCCAGTCAGTGAATTTTTTAAACATTATTTTTATTTGTTCTAATTAGTGAGTCAGTGAATTTTAATGGTCTTGGAGGCTTCCTTTAGAAATGCCACAAAGACATAAGAGGCAAGCTTATATAACTTGATGATGACACAAAAATGAGTAGTATACTGGGCTGGGGTTGTGGCTCAGTGGTAGAGTGCTTGCCTTGCATGTATGAGGCACTGTGTTGATCCTCAGCACCATCTAAAAATAAACAAATAAAATAAAGGCATTCTGTCCATCTACAACCACAAAAAAAAAAAGCACTGGATTAATTTTTTTTAAAAAAGAGCAGTATAGTTAAATAAGAAAACTGTGATTCAAGACGATTTTCCAAATTGAAATGTCAGGAATTTATGAGAGACATTATCATGTAAGAACAAGAGAACTTGTTCAAAGAGTCCAGCAGTGAGGGGGAATGACTGATTAAGAAGCAGTATGGTTGGGGCTGGGGATGTGGCTCAAGCGGTAGCGCGCTCGCCTGGCATGCCTGCGGCCCGGGTTCGATCCTCAGCACCACATACAAAGATGTTGTGTCCGCCAATAACTGAAAAATAAATATTAAAATTCTCTCTCTCTCTCCTCTCTCTCTCCCTCTCTCACTCTCTCTTTAAAAAAAAAAAAAAAAAGAAGCAGTATGGTAAGCAGGTAAGCTGCTTAGGTTCAAACCCAACTCTAGTGCCCATTAGATGTACAGCCATGTGCTGGTTACCAGCCTTGTGGTGCCCTGGATTCTTCACCCACCTCATATGGCTGTTGTAGGAGTTAAATGAGTTAATCTGGGATCAACTGCTTTGAACAGTGCTTGATTCAGGATTAGCCCTGTTTAAGGGATGTAGCCCTGGCTTACCTGGGAATCATCCTTCCACAAATGGAAATTACCGTGGTAAGTGTCCAAGTGCTTCTTCCTTATCTACTTTCTCCTCAATGGGCCTCAAGAGGCCCGTGCCTTTCAACTGTCCCCTTGGTTCTCCTGTGCACTATTGCTTCTCACCCTGTATCAAGCTTCTCCTCTCTTCCCCTGTTCTTGGCCCGTTCTTTCCATTTCCTGACCTCAGCTTTGCCCCTGCATGCCTTATCCACTATCCGGTGTTCCTTGGTCTGCCCAGCTCCTGGCTCTGTGCCCAATCTCGCATAGTCTCAGTGGGAGTCGGCCGGTGGGCTGCCCTCTCTAACAGCACAGTGGGTTTATTTATAAAAAGCATATGGTGGTGAGTTTTGATTTTCAGATATGCTGACTTTGACATATTTGGAATCATAAAAGTAGGAATTTCACAACTGATTGAACGAACACATTAGTCTGCAATTGTGACAGAATCAGGCTGGAAAAATCGTTTCCTGGAGACATCCGCGTGGAGGCTATCTGAGAAGGTAACCGCTCAGAAAAAGAGATTCTGGAGAGGAAGAGCTCAGGGTGGAGGACGAGCTGGAGGAGTACCCACCGTTAGCGGGAGGCAGTCGGACGGTGGTCAGCAAGGGCTTTAGACCTTAGAGGAGAGCAGCATAACAGAAGCACAGGAATAGAGGAGTCTTTGAAGGAGATGCAAAGAAGGGAAATAGATGCCCAAGAAAAGGCCACTAACAGATGGGTCAGAGGAACGTGGACGGTTCTGTCTCCACCGGGAGTAGACGTAACACGCCAGGACTCGGATGAAAACAGGTGGCCGAGCTGAACCGGCAGGGAGAGGGCAGGAAGAAGGCCGGCGGGCCAGTCGGCCGCAGGCGCCCATTCCCCGGCGGGCCCCGGGTACTGGTTAGGTACTGGGCGCCCCTGGCCCGGGCCTGGGCAGGGCCTCTGCAGCGCACCTGGCCGGGCAGCACGCGCTGACAGCAGGACACCACGCGCCGCCGCTTCCCGCCACTGAGTCAGGCAGCCCCGACGGCTGCGGCACCCAAAGCGGGGCTCAGGTTGAGGCCCTCCTTACCAAGCAAGGAGCTAACTTTCCTGACCCCTCAAACCCGACGGTGCTGTCTCCCGCCGCCCCAGTTCAACTGGCGCCCATCCCTCGGCGGCGTACCTCCGGGCCGCGAGGGGGTGCTGTGAGATGCGAGCGTGCCGTGGGGGACGCGGGCGGCGCCCGGCAGAGACTCCGGAAGTGACGCTACTACCGAGCCGGCGGCGGAAATGCAATGCGCAGCCAGTGGCAGAAGTCCCGCCCACCCTTGACAGCGGAAGTCCGGTCCATCTGGCGGAGTCTCCTCGTGCAACCCGCCGCCAGCATGGCGCACTACAACTTCAAGAAGATTACGGTGGTGCCGTCCGCCAAGGTAGGCGCCGAGGGAGAGGCTCCCCATCTCTTGCCCTTTTCCTTGGATAGGTTGTGCGGAGGGCCAAGTCTGTAGCCCTGGGGGCGGGAGAGGGGCGTGTTGTCCCCTGTCGTCCCCCGGTGTTGGGCCTCGCTTCCAGGAAGGCCTCGTCCTCTGGCCTTCAGGGACCCCCAGACAGCGGCCTCACTGCCTGAGTCCGAGCCCTCCGCCCCCAGGCCAGGGGTTCCCCGGAGACCAGGGTCCCTGCGAGAGCAGGTGATCGCGGAGGGACTGCCCAGGGGGTGGGTGGTGGCGAGCGGTGAGGAGACGCCCCAGTCGTGGGCCTCCCGCGCAGGAGGCCGTGGTTCATTGCTGTCATGGTTTACGACTTCTTAGTTTTAGATCTTTCTCCTCCCGTCGGACTTGGGAAACGCAGTTGTTTCAGTCGCAGCAGGGTAAACGTTTCTATAGCGTTATTCGAGAGTAGCAAGAGGCAGCCCCCAAAGGGTTGAATATTGAGAATGTTCAGTCAGGTTTTTCCGTGGACCTGCGGTGTGGGTTGTGATGGCGAAAGCGCTTATCAGGAAACACGTGTTTGTCGGGCAATCCGTGGGGCACTGCACTGAGCCAATGCAGAGATGAGTTGCTCTCGTTGAACGTGGTGCACTGTGAATATAGACAGTGTTCTTCCTTTTATTCAAGCGCCAAAGGTGGAATGAGATTGCCTTGTAAAGCTTCTCCAAAAGCTAGTATTTTTCGTTCCTAGCATAATATTAGTAGTCGTTAAAATTTTTTTTTTTTGTAGATGGACAGGATGACTTTATTTTTATGTGTTGCTGAGGGTCGAACCCAGTGCCTCACACGCGCTGAGCAAGCACTGTACCACTGAGCCACAACCCCAGCCCGAATTAGTAAATTTTTACCTCTTCCCTATAATCATTCTGGTACAGCTCTCTCTAGATTGTACTATCTGGAAAAAAAATCGTTTGTAGGAGTCATGTTTTGTTTGTATTTTTTGGCTCTTATGATATTTTCTCATCCATCTGTCAAGTTTGTTTAAGTAATTTGCAGAGTTTTATCTGAAATACAGCTCTTCGGATAATATGAACTTTGTTCATATAAAGACTCATAGAGACCTTTAAAATATATTAATACAATTTCTATCTTCTATTGTCTTGAGTGATATCTGTATTTATAGAGAACAGATAAATTTGCTTATGTCTAAAAGATGACAGCAATTTTCCTTTGGTGATTGGAAGTGAAAAAGGAATCACAGTAGAAAAGTATGGGGACACAGTTCATTGTAGTATCTATTGAGTGAGTGATGTTTGTGCCAGGGATTGTGGGTACAAAATACATAAGATATCATTGTGGAAGTTATCTAGAGGTGTAAAAGAAGCACTTACAACCACACTAGAAATAACAGAATTGTTATAATAAAGAAATATAGTATATACAGTTGTATATAGTATATACAGTTGGCTTCTTGGATATCTGTGGGTTCCACATCTGGATTAACCAGCTGAAGATAGAAAATACTTTGCTAAAAAAATGCATATGTACTGAACACATACAATCGGAGAGTTGGGAAACTTCAGGTAGTTAGTGCCTTTTGAACTAACCCTTTATGGGTTCTTTTGGGGAGAATAGAGATCCCATGTGTAGTAACAAAAGATGTGAACATTCGTGCCTTTCATAAAATTGAAAGACTGTATTGCGATCACTGTTTGTTTTCTCTGTCACTGGATCCTGAGTTGCTAGAAGGAAGGATCAATGTCTTGTTCATTATTTTATCTTCAGCACTTAAGTATTTCTGTCATTCCAGGATAAAAGATGATCCGTGTTGTTGAATTAATGAAAGTGTTGAGGAGAAATCAAGTAGTTTTTTTTATGGCTGTGTATATGGTTGAAGAAGTAGGGGGATAGATTCCTTATTAAAGAGAAGCAGAAGCTAGTTGCACTGGGGGATGCATTGCAAACATTTTTTTATATCCTTTAATGGTCACTTACGTGACCATTATGGGAAATTACAAACAGTAGGTTTAATTTACCCACTATTTTAGGTCCTTTTAAAAGTCAAAGCTATGCATATGGAAATTGTAAGATTTTTTTTCTTTGTTTTTCAGATTTATGTTTTAATTGTCTGACTGTAGTTTCAAATATTTTTAGGTATGGGGCAAAATTTATTTCAGCAGTTATTCAGTGTTCCTTAAGGGCCAGGAACCATACGGATGAACAAAGTTGTATATTAAAAATTTAGGTTAGAAAAAATACTTGTAATTTAAAATATGTAGTACAGTTAGGTATTAGTGTTTTAAGAAGATTTCGAACAAGTGGATGAAAGGTAGATGTTGAATTGTGTCTTTATTTTCTTTGATTGCAGGACTTTATCGACCTGACATTATCGAAGACTCAACGAAAGACTCCAACAGTGATTCATAAACATTACCAAATTCATCGCATTAGACATTTTTATATGAGAAAAGTCAAATTTACTCAGCAGAATTACCATGACAGACTCTCACAGATTGTAACAGATTTTCCCAAATTGGATGTAAGTGATTATAGGAGTTGTGTATGGTCATATAAATGTGGGCCTTCAGAGAATCACCATTTAGCCAGTTTGATATAGTCATTTGACAGAAAAAGAAACAAAAATTGATATGCTAGCATTAAAGCTGGGAATAGGATCTGTTTTTTGTTTTGTTTTTTATTTTTAGTGTTTTTCCTCAACCAGATTCCATCCAGTGAGGCCCAAAGCTATCTTCCCTGACTTTCTTTGAAACCTATAGGCTTGCAGGGACCAACCCAAACTAGATGAAAGCTGTGGTTATAAACTCTAAAGCTCAGGATTCTCTGAAGGGCTCACTAGGACACACTGGCATGTCTGGGCTTTGTCTCCTCCCACTGGCTGGGGCTTTTTCCTCTTGGCCCGATGAAGGTCAATGGGCTGAGGTCCACCACTGTGATCTTGTTACTTTATCAGCGGATGATGGTCAGTTCAGCACTGATAATTTTCTTCACTATCAAGAAGAGATGGCAGAGGGAGTTGTGATTCCTGCATTAAGCTAAAGAAGCTGAGTGATTGCCTTACTCCTCAGCATACTGCAGTTTACTAAGTATATTTCTATACTTAGCTATAGAAATATGAGTAGAAACTGCTTGACAGAACCTAATAGCAAAATTTGTGAATGACTGTGTAGAATCACAAGAGTTGCAAGGTTATTTGAGGTTGTGAAGGATCTAGGTATCAGAATAGTCTTAAAGCCTAAATTGGTCATTGCTGCAAAGTGGTCCTGGAATATAGGTGAGACAGAGACAAAAAGATGGGTTTATGTGAAATTTTTTTCTTTCATATTTAAAAAATGATAATGACATTTTCTAAATATACAAAAGTGTTTAAAATACAAAGTAAAAAATTTCTGTAAAAGATAGGCACTTACTTTCTCTCTCTAGAACTTGACACAGGTGCTCAGTGGATATTGAATGATTTACTGGGGGAGGTCAAGTACTGGAGATTACCCAAGGATGAAAAAAGAGATTAAGAATGATATTATTGAGGCTGGGGCTGTAGCTCAGCAGGCAGAGTGCTTGCCTAGCACATGTGAGGCATGGGTTCGATCCTCAGCACCACATAAAAACAAATAAAATAAAGGCATGCTGTCCATCTACAACTACAAAAAATTTGAAGAAAAAAAAAATGAGATTATTACCAGGCATAGTGGCACTTGCCTGTAATCCCAGCGGTCTGGGAGGCTGAGGCAACTTACGAGGCCCTAAAAGCAACTCAGTGAGACCCTGTCTCTAAATAAAATTGGGAATGTGGCTCAGTGGTTAAGTGTCCCTGGGTTCAATGCCCAGTATCCAAAAAAAAAAAAAAAAAAATTATTCTAAACTAACTTGATATTAAGAAGCACCTGATTTAGCAAACAACTTATTTTTATTTTAATGTAATTACCATCACATTCATTTGATTCTTTGTAACAATTCTTGTCTTTTCTTCCTCTTCACTTTTTTTTATACATTAGAGATGGAAGAGTTCAACTACATGAACATTGTATTACTGCTACCTAGTAACAGTCTAACTCTCTACTCTGAAATTGTTCTCAGATAATTGACAATAGTCTCTCATTGGACACTTACTGTGTCAGGTACAGTTCTGAGCACTAGGAATACAGCAGTAATAAAGTCCTGTCTTCATTTCAGTGGGTGAAAGAGTGGTAAACCAAAGGTACATAGTATGTCAGATAAAAGAAATGTAGCCAGGTCAGGGGAGTAAGAAGTGTCTGCAGGGAGGTGGAGCAGTCACCAGAAGTGAGCGAGCCCTGTAGGCCAAGAAACAACAAATGCAAAGGCTGTGAAGTGGAGGAGACCCGGGGGGTGGGATAGGGTTTGTGAGGGAGAACTGGAACAGGAAAGGGAGGGGCCTGGCAGTGTGAGTGGGTCTTCGAATTCTATCCTTAAAAAAGAATTTGGAGGGTTTTGGGGATACCTAGCCTGTAGGGGGATCAGGGACCATTAGGTGGTCAGTGCAGTGATTAGGATGTGTGATTTAAAAATCATGGCAACTTAGATAATTGGGATAGTGGAAAGGTGTTGAGAAGTGATTAGCTTCAGGATTTTTCAGAGGCAGAACTAAAAGGATATGCTCATAGATTAGATACAGGGTTGAGAGAAAGAAATGGGAAGACTTCAGGGTTCTCCACCTTGGATGACAAGTCTTGCTGTTCAGCATACTGAGGAAGACTAAGAGGTCCAGTCTGTACATGCTATCTTGAGATGTGTGTGAGATATCTGAGTAGAAATGCCAAAGCCATATAGAAACAAATTTATTTATTTATATGTACGTACTGGGGATTGAACTCAG